TATTTCTACACAAATGCTGTCAGAATGTGTCGTTCTTTTTGGGAAGCAGATGGAAACATGTAGCATGAAGCATATGTGTGGACACACGATACACGTGGATTTTATTTTGAAATCAAAAGTGTCAAATAGATGACAGCGACACTGTTTTGACCTTAGATATCAAAGRCATTTATATCAAGGTTTTCAGCTGTGTTTGGAGTTCGTCTTTCACAGAATTATTATTTTTTTGCTCTGACTTCCACTTTCATTGCTGGATTTATCGCGCAATCTCCTTCCTGCACACACTCCCTCCTCTGTGTGTCGGACCGGAGCGGAGCGTAGATGCGTGTAGTGTAAATCTGGGGTAACACTAGGCTACTTCTCACTCAGTGAAGCTCTTTTCAGATTCAAAATACCTTTGAGGAAATGTATTTTCAGATGCCAAGTAAACTGCATGATGGCGCATGCGCGACCAACCCCCCCACCCCGTCCCGAAATGGGCGGGACAGAAGYGGAAGGTGGTTCTTAAAGAGACAGAGGCCAATTTGAAGGCATTTATATGAGGAAGTSATGAGAAGATAAGTTTATTATCCATTTAAACATATAAACAGCATTTTAATAACAGCTAAAGGTGACATAGATACCTTATTATGGTATAGTATTTAAATATATGCCTGAGAAACACATAATATTGCCCCTTTAAAGAAATTGTTTATATTTTAAAGCCAACTAAATTCAAGACGGCCACCACAACTAACTGGCTTTAGAAATCAAAACTAACTTCTTTGTGTTATTACAAATCTTAGWCACATCACAGTTTTTTGTTAAACTTTGGTCTACTGTTAAAATGTGACCTGTTTTAAAAGTAGAAAGAGGAGAAAGGTAGAGAATAAAGAACCCTGCCTGGTCCAAAACTTCAAAAAATACATTCAGCCATTTCAGTATTTCTTTTGTTGTCAAATAATCATGATGAACAGTTTTTTCTGGATTAATAAATTTGTTGTTTTATGTTGAAATATGGCCTTAAAGACTTATTTTTTATGGAACCTCGTTTTAAATGAAACTAGACAAAAGAATCAGCTTTATACAGTGTGCAAACTGGAATACAGCAATGCAGAATTATGATTTTAATAACATCCTTTGGGCTCTTTACCCTGAGAGGAGCATCAGGAAATGGCTGCTGTGTGAATAGGACAGATGAAAGTGTGAGAAAGAGACAAATAAAAAGAGGGGAATGAGATTACTAAGCAGAGTGCAAATCAAGATCTGGCAATGAGGGGCTATAAAAAAAGGAAAAAAAAATTTTTTATCTTTTGTCATGACAGCAGAGCTTCATGTCAGATGGAGAGGAGAACAGTAACTCTGCACAGAATGGTGATATGCTACCCAAACTTGTTACGGACCAGACTTGTTTCAGAAAACTCTGCTCGGAGTGACATCCTCTCTAAAGATTGGTGGACATGGAGCCAAGCAGTCTGCCACGACTTCAGCTGCAAGAAGCAGCCAAGTGGAAGCTTCGTGTGGATGAAGGCACTGGTGGATGGTTGCATTGACCATAATCATTAAAAAAGTACRTATTTTGGAGTTTTGTTGGCTACAAACTTCACACATTTACAAAAAAAGTTCAACTTCTAACAGAATCATATGCTGTTGGAAAAATGTGTCGACTGGATAAGTCAATTAGACTTCAATTAAAAAAAAAAGTTCTGTCACTTCTCTCCTGCCCTTCAGCTGAAGTCTACGTGAACAGACAAGGCCTGACACTTTACACAACATCTTCTCCTCAGATCGCTGGATTGTTTACCAGATGCAGCACCTCAGCTGACTGGCCTCATGACTCGAGTGCCACAAGTGTGTTTCCATAGCAACCATGTATAGTACTGAGAAGATGTGCAAAGAGAGCGAGAGGAGGGGAGACACTGAACCCCGGCGCTGCGTTATCTTATTATTTTTCCCCTCATTATTTTTTCCTCCCCGCTAGCTTGAGCTTAAATATCGCTTTAGGAAGGCAGAAACCTGATTGCTTGCAGCACTGGTGAAAGACTTTAAAGTTGTGTCTTCAATATTTAACACAATGTACTTCTCAAACCATTAAGATTATTGCTTTTTACAGCTTTCACTTCAGCAGAAAGGCTCACATAATATTTAAGCAAGGTGTAGTTCCAGAGGCTGTTAACATGTTTTGATATCAGTTGTGTTTTACTGGTCATTACAGTAACTCTAAATTGTCCTTTGATGTAATAAAGAATATCAAAATTTATCATTTTGTATCRCATTGCATCATCACATCCTACTGAATCAAATCGTACCGTATCGCATTGCATCATATGGTATTGTATCAAATYATATTCATCTCCATCTTTTGTTGCTTATCACGTCCCAGCGACAACAGGTCTAGGAGASAAACCCAAACATCCCTTACCTCCTGTCACTAGAACGTGCCTGGGACGCTTCTAAAAACATACCTGAACCACCTCAACTGACTCCTTTCGATGTGGAGGAGCAGCGGCTCTACTCCGAGCTCCGCCCGGATGATGTAGCTCCTCACCCTGTGTCTAAGGTTGAGCTCAGCCACCCTACAAAGGAAGCTCATTATGGTTGCTTGTATCTGGGATTTTGTTATTTCAGTCATGATCCACGCCTCATGACCATAGGTAAGGACTGGAACATTGACAGACCAGTAAATTGAGAGCTTTGCCTTTCAACTCATCTCTTTCTCCACCACAACTGACTGAAGCAACGCCCTCATCACTGAGGATGAGGCCCCTATCCATCAGTCTATCTACCCCTTCATCCTTCCATCACCCTGATAGCCTTGGGGCAAACACAACCCCACCCCCACAACCCCCTGATCAAATAGATCATATAATTTCACATAAAGCAAAATAGGATGGGATCTGTTTGYAGTGCTGAGTTTGGAAGAGTTGAACATTGAGAAAGTACTGAGCTTTCCACTCTGTTACCTGTGTCACCAGTGGCCTGGTGGTTGAACAAAGCAGCGGGCACCATTACCAGGCGGACAGARCATACTACTGCCTGGCTCTGACAGATGGGGTGCATCATTAAACAAAACTCAGAAACAAGAATTTGAAAGTGCAAACTTTTGGTCATACAGTCGAACATTTGTCTGCAAATATAAAATTACACACACAGGTCTGAATATTGCTAGACAAACTAAACAACAGTCTGCTTTTCTAATCTTAGGTCTCCCACAAAAAATATTTAATTAAAAAATTTATGTGCATGCCTAATACTATGAACAAACTTTATTCATATTTGAATTGCATTAGAAATAGTTATGCATAAATATCATGCTGATGCTCTTGTTGTTTGCTTCTGAAAGAACGGTTACTATGCAAATTCAATTCAATCCCAGACAACATTTCCATGTATGAAGATGCTAAAGAAATTAGAAATGATAGCTCAAACTCTGTTAGTGTGAGACAAGGTTCATCTTGTGTTAGTGAGAAAACAGTGAGGGAAAAAAGCTTTTTTTAGCATCATATTCAMCTAAAATTAACAGAATAATATTTATGCACATAGCCACTGGGGGCTATAAAAGAACATTTGAGGAAACTCATTGAATTAATTATCTTTAAACCACTTGTGACATCCTGTGGCGTCCTTGGGAAACTACACCAACATCTGCAAGACGTGACTCAGAATTCTATTGAGAAGTTTCAATCATCAAAGTGCGAGAAAACAAAGCAATGTTGGTAACAATTGTAATAATTAGATTTGTAGTGTTTTTACTGCTCTGATTAATGCCACAACACTGTGGATGTCTCTGCACATYATGGTGCAACACTGACATCAGATCTCACTGCCTATAACACTGTATTTGTTGAATGAAACACTGGTTTGTATTGAACTGTGTGGGCAGCACTAATCTAAACTTTAGTTGCACTAATCCTAAAGCACTAACTCAAATATTTAGGTCCTCTAATTCTAAAGTACTAATGCACTAAAATGTTTTGCAAAAGCTAATTCTAAGACACTAATGCACCCAGTTGATGCATGGAACATTCTTCAGAGTYAACATGAGACARTATTWAYTGTGTGCMGAATGTTGTCACTTAGTGTCCTTGGCAGGCCRAATGGGAGTCACCCGCAGGCCACATTTGGCCYGCGAGCCTTGAGTTTGACATTGTWGATAAGTGACACACATTATGAACAAAATGTGTGACAGCTTTCACCCTCAACTGTGAACGATAATGTTGATCAATAACATTTAAACACATCAGTGCTTATAAATTTAACCTATAAATTTAGCAAATGCTGATCCACTAATGAATTTTAAAAAATAGCAAAGGTCCTAAAGCACTAATCAGGAAATTAGTTCCCCTATTAGTGTTTAGTGCTTTAGAGAAACTGTGCCCAACACTATTAAAAATCCCYTTTACAGCAATATTTCTACAGTTGYTCACTAAATTGYAAATTGACAGGAAAACATACCCGTATAAGATCTCATCATTAATGTTATYAATTAAAGTGTATGATAGGAGCAGCAAATTGTTAAGTTTTAGGGCTGTTGTGATTTTTGACTTGTTACATGGTCAAATCACTCATCTGTCTTCCTTTGCTCAACCTTTGAGTTGGTCTAGGTAAACACGGAGCAATGTATCCCAGCTCTCATGTAAATACAATGCAAATGAAATAAGAAAAGAATGGACTGAGACATGGGTCATCTAAAATTAAAAGAAGTTTKTTTCATTTAAAAAGCAGCAATGGACTGAGGGTGTCTAACTCCACTCCCAGGCAAATCAGCTGAAGCAATGGATCCTCATTTTCAAACTTTTTTGCARTTGAGTGCATTTAGGACTTCAAATTGGTGTGTTTCTAAATGATGTGTCAAAAAGAAAATAGCAATTAGATGAACAATTTTTACTTTGAACTATTCCTTTAAAGACTTTTTTTACACCCAGTTCAGCTTCTGCACTAGGAAATTCAAATTCAAATTCAAATTTTATTGATTTCATTAAAAACAAACAAAACATTTCACACGCAAGAAAACAATAATGAATAAAATGAAATGAAAGGCAGCAGAAATGAAAGTTTAAATAACAAAAAATTAAATATATAAAATTCTAACATTAAAAATATTAAAAAGGGGAGAAAAAGACCTGAAGAAAAGCACTAATAACAGTGATTATTAATTAGAAGTGAAGAAGGAAGGTCWTTTAACTTCTGCTTCACCAAATCCTCATCGATCGCTAGGTGCATCAGTTTTCTCGAAGTCCCCAGAGACGGACACATCCTTCTGTTAAAGTATAACAATGTTTGGAAAGTTTAAAAATAACAAAAAGCAAAGAAAGACATTTAAAAGGAATGTGGTCACGTTAAGCAGCACAATTTCCAACATGTTTTATTGGAATCCCAGGAATGTCATTAGTTATGTTAACTGTTCTTTATGTTTGCAGTTTTTGGATAAAGGTCAAGATGAAAGTAAGTTTTCAAGGTTTTTATGTGTTAATTTTAAATTTGACTTACCACAGATTCGTCTCTGGTTTTACTGGAAAAACAAGGAAGCCATTTCCTGTACTCATTTCTCACCTATGGGATGTTGTAAAGACAAACAGGTTCATTTTTTTTTTTAATTAAACAAATTCTGTACTGCTATCTTAAGAAAAAAAGATGAAATAAGATAAATGTCTTCAAAGAAGACTTTAGTGTACCTCCTCATTGAGTAAACAGTGGACGATGTAGAGAAAGGTGCCCTGCTGAGAGTTCAGAATTATAAAAAGAATCTGCAGGAGAAGACCTGACTGGAACAGGCCCAAAATCCACGTGCAGCCCAGGATGACGAACTGGGCCAAAATCTTGAACAAAATCAATCTGAAAAAGAAGATTGTTGTTAATGTTTGTCAGTGTAAAACCAAACAAAGCAAAACAAACAAACAAAAGGAAAAACRATCACTTACTTTGTGTCTTTGGACTGAGAGATGTCGCTTCTCATGCTGGCTAACGTGGGTCTCAGACTCCATAATGTAGCACCAAACAGGATGCAATTAAGCTGAGAGAAGAAACACACAGGAATTAGAAAACAAACAATTTATCATTGAAGGGATAGTTCAGACCTTTTGGAGTGGGGCTCTGTCCTGCAGGCCACATCTGGCCCACAGGGTAACTTCCATCAGGCCCATGGAATTTTTACTTTTTTTTTTTTTTTTTTTACTGTTATTTAACCAGACAAGTCCCATTAAGATCTCAGCTCTCTTTTCCGAGGGAGGCCTGGGCCTGAAGGCAACCTTTTGTACAGGTTTTAGTGGGTGGGGGAAACTGGAGTAGCCGGAGAGAAAACCCATGCAAGCACGAGGAGAACGTGCAAACTCCGCACAGAAAGACCCCAGGTCCGAACCAGGGATTGAACCCAGGACCTTCTTGCTGTGADGCATCGGTGCTAACCACTGAGCCGCCGTGCCGCCACACTTCTTACATGAAAAAGTCATTTCTAAATGTAAATTTCAGATCTGTTAGTGTTGAAGATGAATCTCAGCTACTAACACATCAAACTTTAACTCAGTAGCTGTAAAATTGACTGAGTTACAGTATAGCCATTTGTATGCTTTCTCATGCCAGTTGACTGTGGCAGCAATCTTTAATTGGGTGAGTCCAAATATAATCAGTTATAGAAGTCAACCTAAGGATCATACAATCTATCCAGTGGTTCATGAGATATTTTACTAACAGACAAAAATATTATTTTAAAGAGTAATCTATAATGAGTAACCCCACTTCATGCAATCTGAACTACCTCTTTAAAGTGCCTGTGACATCAAATTTTTGTAATAAAAATGAATGTGTTTTTGGAAGGATAACACTGATAACATGTTGTAAAAACAGATTTCATGCCGCTGAGACGAACAATTGTTGAAATATTTGCATGTTCAGTAACAGGAAGTGATGTCAAAGGGGAATGTCTGCATGTGAACAGAGCATTGCTAAAATGGCTAACAACACAGACTGTAGAAAATAATCTGTTTCTTTAGATTATTTAATCATTATCATAGAGATGAGAAAGAGTCCTAGTTCAAATAATATTGTTTAAATAAACAAAAACCAGGGAGTTTTCTTTCTCAAAGAGTTCCCCTTTGATGTCACTTCCTGTTTCACTTTAGCTGAGCCAAGGTCAAAAGAAAATATGCCAGTTATGTGCCATAACGGGTAAAATCATGTGTTTTATGCCAAGTTTCTTAAATATAAATATATTTTCTGTGACTTTTTGGATTTTGTGGATATGCATGTCACAGATACTTTAAGGAAATAAACATGTCTCACATAAACAGACTCACTGCGAGTACAAATATCACCGGTCCTGTTAGAGCCCATTTAAAGTTCCKCTCATCTGATAACCAGCATCTGCAGTTCGGACATATGACACATCGTTAACACATATAACATCCTATGCATTGGCTGAAAAYGTTCAAAATCAGTCGGACTGTTTGTGCTACTCACACCTTGGCATCAGTGGCTCCATATCCTGCTGAATAAACAGCCGCAGAAATGCCCACAATCACAAGGGGAACGCCGTAGCCGATCACGTAGAGAAGTGGTTTAGGGAGACCATCCTTCTCGATCACCTGCACCTTGGTGAGTTTTCGAACCAGCAKGTAGAGCTGGATGGCCTCCAGCAACATCCACATAAAACTTGCAACAACTAAGTAATGGAGAACCCCTGCCATGACAGCACAGGCTAACTGCAAAAAATAATAWTAATAATTAAAAAAAAACAAGTTAATAAAAAGTTTTTGATCCTAAAAGCTACATGCTGGGTTAAAGTTTAATCAAAAATGAGCTGCTTTATCTCACCTGATTTTCAGCATATTTTTCATTCCATAGCAATAAGAATTGAGTCAAGCCAAGGCTGAGGCAGAGATGAAGACGAGCTGTGTTGTTAATCTTGGGGTTCCAGCTACACAAGAGGAAGGTAAGGACAGCCAAAGCAAAGAAGAGCAGCCCAACAMCCACACAGATTCTGTTTAACCAGTCTAAAAAGGAGCTGTCTGGTGGAGGCTGAGGACACAAAAACAAATGAAAACACGGTAAACCATAAAATGGATGCAGAAAACGTGTGACAGGAAGTGATAAGGAGGAGAGTACCTCTCCTATTTGAAGAATGAGGGCAAATGTGGAAAGGTGAGAGCAGCTGCACACGGTGTAGTTTTCATTAGTGGATGCAACCCAACAGCCCTCCACTGACCACCCAGTGGTCTTCATATTTACTTTGTTCAAAATGTCTTCTTCCGTTTGTTCCACCCAATACACACAGGTCACCAATCCAGACTCAGGTAACGTCTGAAACATCAGACACACAAAGATGTTCAAACCTGTTGAAAATGTGTCCCATAGGTTAGCTTTAACACTGACAGAGAAACTAGACTTGACCTTTTTGTGATAGATGGTGAAATTGACAGGTTCTGTCAGGTTGGTGTTGTTCATCGAGGGCAGAACAGCGGTGATCACATCAGACAGCATCTCTGTCCTGTTCTCTGTTCCAAAGTACTGGTGGCTGAGAAGAAGCTCCATCCCRGTCAATGTGACAAAGGCAGCGGAGGCAGAGCCTGGAAATGACAACATTTAGGTGAGTAAGGAATCCCTGCAAAAATCTGCTCRTTCCAAAGTTCCAAAKAAAGCTTGTTYCAGAGTCRGGTCAGAGGCAGCAACTTGAGYAGAGAGGCCAAGACATTTCTTTCCACAGCCACCCCGTCCAGCTCCTCCTGGAGGACTCCAAGGTATCCCCAGGCCAGCCGAGAAACATTTGGTATTTTGCATTTTAAAGGGATCCCCGATTAGTTGTAACATTAGACTTTATATGATAAACATATA